TCCTGACTCCGGTGGGTAAATTTAAGTGTAAAACATTTGGTTGATTACATCGCTATTCATAAAATTGGTCTGTCTTAAATTTATAAAATTTGGTCAAGATTTGGAACAAATAATTGGGAAATTTTGTTTAAATTTGGTCAATTTTGCTGCATTATTAGAAAGAAGTCAAGTAGCAAGTAGATACTCTCTCTCATACCCTAACCCAATGACCTTCACAATTATTTGTGCACTGCCATTGGGCCCTTAGTGAGACATAGTGGGTTGCTTCATCGTAGTTATGTGATGATATCTTTTGATGTAATGTGGGCTTCATCGTAGTTATGTGATGATATCTTTGGAACCAAATGTAATTCTCACTGTTGTAACATAACAAGGCATGCATCTTTCCATTAAAACTTAGCTTTTCATTAGTAATTCAAGCTAAATATTGGTTTGGTGTTCAAAAAAAAAAAAAAAAAAAAAGGTTTTACACATTGTGTTTACTTCCAACATTCAGCAAACAATGTTCCGTCAACACCAAACATTGTGTTTACGTCCAATATTCAGCAAACAATGTACCGTCAACACCAAATAATATCATGTTAATAATTTTTAAGTTATTTACACTAAGAATTTTTAATTATTAAAATAAATATTATTTTATAATTTTTATATATAAATGCCTCTATTTTGGGACTTGGTTTGTGGTTAGTGCTTTGTGTTGTACAAATTAGTCTGAGAGGGAAATGACTGTTTGTTTAGAGCTATTTAAAAAGAAAATAAGGGTGATTTGTTTAGCTGATCTTCCTACAAGAAAAAAAAATTAAACTCACACACTCAAATGTAATATATTTGCTATGTGATTGTAATGTACAGATGATAAAAATAAAATAAAATAAATAAAAAATTGTACCATTCAAATGTAATATATTTGCTGTGTGATTCTAATGTACAGATGATAAATATTTTTCATATAAATTTTTTGAATATCTAGAGTTCCTAATTAAAAGAAAATTTTTGGAAACTTAGCATTTTAATATTTATGTGTAATATGGCAAGATAGCTTATGTTTTTTTTTTTTGCACCTTTTTAAGGGAGTATAATATTCTATGTCATATTTCAAAAAATTCTGGTGAATGTATATGTGTGTGTATTACTTTAGTTGCCTTCCTAGTGTTGAGTGGTGAAAAAAAAAAAACTCAAAACTCAAAACAGAAACATATTTTTTGAGTTTACATTTTTTGGCCAAATTTATAAACTGAGGCCACTGATTTATAAATCAAAAATTTTACCAAACAAATTTTTATTTGAGTTTTTAAATTTTTTGTAAATATAAACAAAAAACTGAAAACGTAAGTGTTACCAAACGGCACCAACGGGTTTTGATTTTGGTTTTAATTTCATCTTTATAAAATTGAAGTCAGTTAGAAAAGAGAAGAGTCCAAATTTGGACATATGTTGTGCTCCGATTTTAAAATACATCTATTCTAAACATTGGGTTGGCCTTTTTCTTTTTCTAAACATTGGGTTGGCAGTTATTTATTTAAATAAAATTTTGAAATCCATGTTAACTTTTATGATTGCTAATTTTTTGTTTCTTGGTGTCTAAAATTATATAACCAAACATTTTTAGGTTCAAGTATAACAGTTGTGGACAATATCACTATTTTTGGTCAAGTAAGTTTTATTTCTTTTTTTTTCCTCTTCATATAAATTTAATTACCTCTCTTATAATGTAAGGCCTATTTTTATTTATTTTTTATTTTTTATTTTTTATTTTTTTAACTTATCATATCTAATTTTCTTCTAATAAATTGCTTTTTTTTCTCATACTTTATAGGTGGATGGAGACTTACACCGAACCGTAATATCACCGCCGTTTACCAATTTTCTTATTTATGTGTATAAAGTTTTATTTATCACTCTAAAGTTTTTGTATGTATAGGTTTGATTTCTTCAAAGAAATGTTAACGTTGTTATCCGCGATGAGCGTGACCTTAATACTATTCGCATTCGTGAGGTCAGCTTAAAAGTCACGGTGAACATTGGACATGCATTTTCTTATCATTTTAAAAATAATTTATAAGTATATTCCACTTATTTTTTATAGGCAAAGGCAAAAGAAAAAGACAAAGCAATATCAAAGGAAACAGAAAAGGTTATCCCTTTTGGCGAAAGAAAGGAAAATGCACATCCCGTGGTATGGTTTCTCAACAATTTTTAAAAGTTTCTTTTTCGAATATTATATAGGTTTTTTTTATATATATATAGATTATTTTAGGGATTACATAGTGTCATATACTCTTTTTTCTGTACATTTTTTAAAAGTTTCTTTTTCAAATATTTATTAAATTCTTTTTATTGAATGTGAAATGTTTTTCTGAAACATGTTAAAATAAGCATTTGTACAACATGCTAATGCATTTGTATGAACATTAGGGAGCTGTTAAGATGTGCACCTTATAAAATAGTGCACATCATGTACACATTTATTTTAAACCATTAGATATTTATAAATTAATCTCAACCATCAAATAATTTGATTGAAAATACTGAATACCCTCTCAACCGGTTACAATTTTGTATGTTCAGTTTACAAACCCTCTTCACTTTGTTTTCCCAAAACCCTTATTCTTCAGACCAATCCGAAGGCCCTATTCTCCCTCTTTAGACACGACTCCAGAGCTCTCTTCAAAGACGACTCTGAAGCTCCTCGTCGCCTTCTTCAGACACGACTCCGGAGGTTTCTTCGGACACGACTTCGAAGCTCTTCTTCGCCCTCGAAGACTATCCCGTGAATATAACGTGCCCTCGACTTCGCCTCAAGGTATCTCTTTCTCTCTCTCTCGCTGCAACTTGTTTCTCTCCCTTTCTTCATCTCCATTCTATGAAACCCTAGACTGAAATCCCCTTCTTCAAAACTGCCCCTTTCACCATTGTGAACTCACTAGGTTGGTTTATAAAATTAGGAAAATATAATTTGAATCGGTTTAGGTTTTTGATGTTTGCTTGCTTTGGTAATCTTTGTAATCTATCAAACCAATGTTTCAATTTGTGTATATATAATAGATCTGTGTGTTCTTTTTAGATTTCTCTTCTCTGTTTTGAGTTTGTCTGCTGTGTAGAATTAGTGAGCTCGATTAGGATGAATTGATAGAGACTAACTAGTTACTTCATGGATGCCTATTGTACTATCAGTCGAGTCTGACTTCCGTATAATTTTTCCCCTTGTGATTTCAGTATAATTTCTGCTAAAAAACACCAGCCATCTCTAACAATCTGCTCAACATGGGTACAATGTTGATTTGGTTGATGATTTTCATTTGTGCAGATTAGGATAAAAAATTGGAGCAGAACACCTAAGAGAGAGAAGGCAGTTGAAGACGTTTTGTTCTATATATCCTCTCTCTTCTATGGAATTGCCATTTTATGTATATTTTTAATATAAATAAATGCTAGTCTTAATTCATCTGAATTGGTCAACTCTATATAACTTACAATTAGTCAGATTTGTGTTGTATGTTTACGTGTTGTGCTTACAATTGGTATGTTTTCATTGTCTCTGCTCGTTTAAAGCCTCTTTTCTCATGAATTTTGGGTTTTGTATGTTGAAAAATGTTAGTCTGAAAGTTTGGATGCCATTATCATATTTGTGCATTTTTTGTATCATCAAAAACCAGAAGACCAGTTAGGAGATGCAGTCACCAGAACAGCAAGACAATATTCGCAACAAACCCACAAAATTTGGCACATGGCGAAGGTATAGGTATGGTGGCTGCAAATTAAAACCACACCCCAAAATAACATTCAAATTAACTGTCTTGTTTTGTTAATCACTCTATTTTTAATTTTTTTAGAGGGAATCTCTGAGTTCTATGGAACATGATATAATATATTGTTATTGAAATAATGGCATTTAAAATTTTTTGAGGAAAACAATGAAATTGTTTCAAGTGTATTTATTTTATTTTATTTCAAGGACTCTACTGCAGTGCTCTTCATGGGCATCTTCTTACTGTCTGCCTTTGCTGTAATTAGTAATATAGAATTCAACTGTTGACCCACTGGAATTGGTTTCAATGTTTTTGGTTTTTGGTTTCTTCTTTTGCTTTTAAAGTTATGATTTTGGGGGATATGGTTAGACTTCTCAAGACAGTTTTTGGGTTAGGATTTATTTTATTTTATTTTTTATGTTGTTATTAAATTTCATCACCTTTGGATACTTTGACCATTTAAATTATTTTCTTGTGTATCAGACTTCAATATAGTAATAATATCCTTCTGAGGTGGTCCACTTATCCTGATGAGCTGAGCTGACCCTTTTTCTTCTCTCTTTTGTATTGTCGAATAGCTTTGACAATTTTATGCAACTTGTGATTGGTACATTATGAACACCCATGAGCTGAGTTGAGCTAACCTGGAGCTGAGCTACACCTTTGGACTCTATTTTGTCTTCGCTTGCCAATTGCTCCTCCTCCAACCACTTATCTTTGCCCTAGGTAACATTGTCCCACTTTGTTCTTTTCTTCTTCAACCTTCGAATTGATTTCACTTATAGATGATTCGACTTTAAGTTCAATCTTGTACAGAATACTTGTGGTTAATACACTATATTGAGCTCTATACATATATATATGTGTGTGTGTGTGTGCGTGTGTACTAGAATGTGTGCACACCTGATGGGTGATATGAAAATAAAAAATATATGTGGGGAAAAAAACTGAAGAAGTTACAGAATTTGAAATTTGAAATTTAAACTAGGCCTCAACTATATAGTTGGAGATATGAGTCTTGGCTTTCTGTGATATATTATGCTCCACAGAGCAATGATTTTTGTATTTTGGAATACATTTTGCTATGCGACTTTTTGTTCTCACTTGCTAAAGAAAACATATAGTTTTTGCAAGTGGGAGCCCTTTTAAACATGTTGACCTTGGTATTGTTTCTTTCTCTTGATGATAACTTATTATGAAGTGTTTTGGCACAATCTGCCATCACTTTCTGTCGATCCTTGGTTCGCCGAGGGGGCAGTGAAGTTTTCCTGCTTCGGAAGTCGGAGTTTCAATGGAAGAACGAGCCAATTGGGTTTGAACAATGGTGAATTGCCATACAGATTGAGTCTATTGATGGCAAGTGTGAAGTTGCCGAGAGTTTCGAGAAGTCCTTCTATCAAGGCAGCTGTATCTCCCGTGGGTGCTCAAGAAAACACGAATTCAACACAAACCCAAATGGAATTGAGGTCGTCAATTGGCTCAGACACAAAATTCAGGAAAGTTCTTGAGTCTGCTACCTCGGATCGAACTGAATTTGCAAGTACTAATGAGGGTTCCTTTGTTTCTGAGAAAATCCCAAATGGCGAAGCGGTGTTGAAAAATCCAATTTCTTCTAATTTCGGGAAAAGAAAAGAAGGTTTGAGGGGAAAATCCAATTCTGTCAATGCCACAATGGTATATGAATTACCAAGAAAAATTAAAAACACACTCTTTTAACTTCTTTTTTCTTTGATTCAGTCGAGAATTCTAACAATTCTGTTCTTCCAGGCAGCAGAGGCAGAGGATGACCCGAACACCAAGCGATTCAAACCCAATGAAGGTAGTGGGAGCGAAAATGATAGTGTTAAAACAGGGGATGAGGATGAGAAACAAACAAAGGCTAACCAAAAGCCTCCCGAGCCCCCAAAGGACTACATTCATGTAAGAGCAAGAAGGGGTCAAGCTACTGATAGCCATAGCCTTGTTGAAAGAGTAAGAATCACAGCCCAATTCTCTCATCATTCGCTCCAATTCTTCCACGGCAAGCTTAGCATTAACGTTGCGATTTTCGGGTATTTGGGCAGGTTCAAAAGGAGAAGATCAGTGAAAGAATGAAGCTTCTCCAAGACCTCGTGCCAGGTTGCAATAAGATGTGTGTAACAAAATGCTTTGCAACAAATTTAAGCCATAGTAGAGCTTGAATTCATTGTTGGGCAATGACTAAATTGGCCTTGGAAATTTTCTTTCCATTGCACTTGTAGGTGAATAGAAAAGCACTTATGCTTGATGAAATTATAAACTATGTGCAGCCACTGCAACGACAAGTCGAGGTAAATTAGGACTTGTTCTGTACCATGGGGTTTCATTTTGATTGCATAATTGAGTTCTATGACTTAATGGGTATTGTGTATTCATTTTGTATTTTGTAGTTTTTGTCAATGAAGTTAGCTTTTGTGAATCCAAGGTTGGAATTTAACATGGATAGTCTCTTGTCAAAAGATGTGAGTATAGAAACTTGTAAAATCAATTTCTTTTATCTATTGTGACGTTTTTTTTTTTATTGTAAATTCCAGGTATTTCAGCCTAATGGCTCTTTTCCTCATCAAACATACCCATTAGATTCCTCTGCTTCTACTTTCTTTGGACAACAGACCCAGGAATTTTCACCAGTATATACTAATCTTTCCAATGGGGGCCATACAAGCACCACATTATGCCAAAACAACGGCATGCAATTACCTCCGGTCGATGAATTCGGCCAAGGTATTCCATAGGTATTCAAATGCTGGCCCATTCCTGAAGAATTTGGTGTTGTCTTTGTTTTCTCCATTTTCATTTTTCGTGTTTCAGTAAGGAAAACAAAGAAAAGTTGGAAATACCCAAAAATAAAATAAAAATCTGAAAAGAGTTTTCTGAAATAATTCTGTGTTTTTTAGCATTGAAATAGAAATTAAAATACAACTACACAGCCCTTTTAAGTTTTTCATCATCTAATTTTGCTTTTCTCAACTTGAAATCCTCAGTTTCCAACATTGTGTAAAGATGATCTGCAAAGCATTGTTCAGATGGGGTTTGGTCAAGAACCTAAACCCCAATACAGGATTTCAATCATCCCACATGAAAATTCAACTGTGGTCACCATTGATTTGTCCTCAACTCAAGGCCTAGAGGCTGCTATATATTAATAGATTTTTTTTTACGAGAAATATTAAAAAAAAAAATCTTGATGCTTCAGTTATTTACCTAAAATATAGTAGAATCACAAGTTGCTTCATTCACCAACTAAATTTGATTTGTTGGGATGAAGAACTGTGTTGAATCACGAAGGGTTGACTTTTGTTAAATCTATTTTCTATAACAGCTTTAGATATGTTACATATGATCTCTATAATTGAAATTGGTTGGATCTGTTTTTGCAGGAATATTATGTATCCTGAGCAGTTGACTCATCTCAGTTGTGAACTACAACTCTTTATGAGTTCAAAAAGAGCATACCGTCTGTAATGTTTTTGTAGTGGAAGTGGATAGAACCATAGACAAACCTGTAGACACACTACAAAAAAAATGACTTTTTGCGACGGCAAGAGAGGGGTCGCAACTGCAGGGG